GTATCCCCATAACTAAAAACGGAATTGTATAAATACAGATGGCTAGTTCTCCTTTATATTAATCAGCCAGTTAAATCATTCTATATCTATCTAAATCGATATATTTTCGTTTTTAGTTATGATTAGGATATAGCCGGATCCTCTTCTTCACTACGTGTTAACTTGAAGTTTTGCCATAATGAATTGCAGCTTTTGACGAGGCCTGCCGACTGACATAATAGACGAAAGCTCAGCCCTTTTTCACACGAAATTGGGGAGGATGCCTCGCGGATTGCGTCAACCTGAATGTCGTGGTAAACCAAACTGGTACGGAAAACGAGAGTTAGTCATCCTCTCCTCTTCATTGCACACGCTTTCACGCGAAATGAAAGTCGGCACAACAAGTAATACGTCTCGACCCAGACAGGGAAGACAAAAGCTCAGCACAGGTTCATCGGGATGACAGGACGGTGGGGCAAGGGCTTCTTGACTCAATACAAGACAATCTCCGGGTTTTCGGTGCGACCAACTAACGCATGCCTTCCAACCAAATGTCCATTGAAAGTGAAATGTCGAGTCACATATCTGTAGCCAGTCGCCAGAAGATGGCCGAATCAACCGTCACAATTTCATGGTGCCCCTGCTTCGGTTGTAGTGGCCATTAACCCACAAATCGTGTCCACTTTTCGTCGGAATTGAATGGCTAAATTGATCGAATTTGCGCCAATACCTCTTCGAAAGTCAGCTTTTCATTTGTCGTCTTAACCCTGTCCAGTCTAGGATGGCCATTGTGCTTGCGACAGGCCATTTCTGACCAGAAGAGTCCGAGACCGAGGCTACAGCACGCATCTGAGGCCGAGTTTGTAGTGTCGTTTAAAAACGCCTTGGAGGCACACCCACACCTGTCTCAACTGAGGATGCGTGTATGTGTATATGGGCGCGGGCGTGCGTGTGCATGTGTGCACGAACGCGCGCGTGTGTGTGTGTGTGTGTGCTCAGGGCTGGAACAACGTGATGGTTAAAGCGCAGTCAGATGACAAGACCTGCGATCGATACTGCTCTAATCGAGTCGAGTCTTAGGGGCAAAAATGTGGGAAGTTTAGCTGGACAGCCGAATTGGATGCGCGAGGGGCTGGACGCCAGTTTAAGCATCGCTTAAAGATTGATCGAAGAAAAGAGCGAGCTGAGCGCAACTCGGGCTTTATCAGTTCAGTGTTAGAGTACCATATTACGATAAATACGAGACGGCCTTTTCGAAAGTCGGACAAGCCCTCTGGCCGACATCGGGTGTATGTTGTAGTCATTTGTCTCGCCGGAGCGCTAATGAGGCCGCAGCGAGGCCGGCGGTTATGTTGGACCAAGGCCATTCGATAATAGCTAAATATATACCCATTTGTCTGGACAAGCGAGTAGAAGGGAGTTACTAGCTGAAAAGTATGAAAACATCACTTCATAACCTTTGGGTAAAAGTAGTTTTCGAGACTATTGGTAGCTAATGCAAAAGACTAGGTATGTATCAAAGTTATGAGTAGATCGTGAATAAGTTGATGTAGGATTAATCACTGAATCTTCCCACAATCAAATGGCTAGGCGCCTCGATGCCATTGAATTCCATTGAGATTTGCTTCTCATCCAGACTGGATAGTACTGCTATCTCAACCTCGTCCGTGTGCCAACAGAACCACCAACTGGTTTTGATATCGATAAAATCACCCCAATAATCACAGCCCGGTATCGAATCGCGTTGGGGTGCCGATGAGGCGGCAAGACGGTGTTGGAACTGAAGTCCAGCCGAGCCTTTTAGGGAGCAAGATTAAATGAAATTAATCGGCGTCCTAAGGTCTGCTTATCTGATTGTTGGAAGACTCAATTATCGTTCCTTAAAGCACCTTAAGCGACCTGGGCTGATTGAGTTCCTATTAATGCATTAATAAGTAAACTCAATTACAAATAAGCGTCAATTTGGGTATATTTCGGAACTATAAGTAATAAATGAATAATATTAGTATAATCTTCATTTAGAGTGAATTGATAAAATGTTGTCAGAAAGGTTACTTCTTATGCCTAATATAGCGATGCTGTTGTTAGCAGATGAGGAAAGCTAAAGAATGAAGAGGACATGACGATGGTTACAGCTTAAGGGGACCTTCATTTAGTATGAAAGTGCATGAAGAAGAGATTTGTTGGTCGATCTCACCAGATGAGGACGGATGAATCTCGTATCGGGAGGAAGTCCTGTGGACTGCGTCAACATGAATATCATATAAAATCCAAACGGCTGCAGTACAACGAGATTCATCCGTCCTCATCTGGTGAGATCGACCAACGAA